GAGATCCAGATTAGTCCTTCAGGTCGGCCTTTTTGAAATTTGCCTTCATTCTGTCCAATTCGATTTTATTTACATAGCGTCAAATCACAGCATTTTGTAATGTAAAGATACTACAGTAACACAGCACATGGAATTATTTAGTCTTCTCTTGTTTACTTGTCTAGGATTTGACTTCAGCCTCTACCGTTATCCAATCACGTGGCAGCTTTGATTCAAATAAAAAACATTGTTGAAAAATCCAGAGTGAAGGAAGGAAACCTTTAGAAATATGAAAGAAAAGACTGTATTAGAGCAACAGTTTGGTGACACTAAGACAGTCTTTGCATATAAACGTAATGTTTTGTGTTTCTTTTGCTGAAGATCCTGAAGCACCTGGATTTGGGCTTTTAAACACAACAAGAAAAGTAAGATTTACTTTTTTGTATGAATTTTTTTAGACCATTACTTACTTTTTTCTTATTTAAACCACACGGCAGCAGCAAAAGCAAATTAAAATATTTTCTTTAATGTAACTGAGACAGCATCAGCAACACCCTCATGTCATTCATTAGCATCCATGATTTAAATAGCTTTTGTTCTTCCCACCAGTACGTTAAGCCCATGAACTTTGAGGAGGAAGTCCGCGCCCACAGAGACCTGGACGGCTTTCTGGCCCAGGCAAGCATCCTTCTGGATGAAAAAGCTGCCACTCTGGATGAGGTGCTAAGGCGAATGTTAACTCACGTTGTGGTCGAAGGCCGTGAGAGTTGGGATGTGGATGAGATCATGAACTCACTGTTCACAGACGCAGGAAGGAAAGAGATCAATGGTGAACGAGCATGTTACCAAAGAAGTCTAAATCACTTGATTACATTAAAGGCAACTAGAAAATGAGCATTTAGTCTGATGTTGCTGTTTATTGGGTTATTCTGCTTCCACAGTTCATCTTCTGTCAGAAACCATTCAGGGTGTGACGGCAACTTCTACTGGCATTCATTACCAGCAGTCCTGGCTTTGTATCCTGTGAGTTCGTCTCCAGTTAAAGCTGTCTGAGGTTCAGTTCATGGCTCTTATTGGTTAACTGATTTCAAAAATACATTTCTTGAATTCAGCTCGAATGTGAGGAATCTGCAGAGACGTCATGTCTGCATCACCCGCCTGGAGAGGCCACAAAACTGGGGCGTCAACTGTTGTGAAGCTTGCTACGTCGTCCTTATCCTCGCTCCACCTAGAACAGTAAGGTCAAATTCTCCATTCATCTGCTGAATATCATCTTATTTTGTCTTAATTTGTCGATAGCTTACTTGTTGCAAGCGATTACTGTTTGCTGATGACTGGCCATAATATTCAGTTGCATAGACTGCATGTAAAAGCCTGATGTAGCCACTGTTACGTCACATATTGGCTTACGGGCTGCTGTTTGGAAGCCTTGAGTTTGTTGTTTTGGCCTCTGTCCATCCTCTTATCTTATCCTATCAGGGTTGCAGTGGAGCTGCAGCCTATCCCAGCTACCATAAGAGAGGCAGGGTACACCCTGGATAGGTTGGCAGGGTGACGCAGGGTTAACACAGAGAGACAATATACCATATTTGGATGGGTTATGTCTCAATTCTAAGATGAAACTGAAAAGAGAATTTGTAACATGGTAAAATTTATTAAATGGTATTTATTCGATTTGACTTGTGATCCTATACGTGAAGTTTTTCGGTAATATAGTAGATAATGCTTCAAAATTCAAAAACTTCCTAAACACGTGGCTTTTGCCCAGCAAGCTTGATTGCTAAAGTTCATCCATACTTTCA